CTAAAAGAGAAGTTTTTGAAGAAACTAATTTGGTAGTTGAGGATTTAGAGAAAATTGGTGAAGGAAATATTTTTTACGCCAACTTGCCGAAGGATATTCAACATTGAAGAGGGTATTTTTTTCAGACCAAAAAATATTTCGGAGAGGCAAAAATTAAAGAAGTAGGGAAAATATTGGATATTAAATTCACGGATTACAATTTTTCTGAAAATAATGAAAAGCAGCAACCTTATCAATTTTATTTAGAAAAAATCAGAAAATTAAAAAAATATGACAAATAACAAAAAAATACATACATCGCAAGAAAGAATAAAAATACGAAAAGAAACTAAAAAAAAGCCAACAAAGTTTAACTGATTTACAATAACAAATATCTATCGCAAAGAAACGGTTATTTTTTATTTACTAACTACGATTAGTTGCTTGAGTAGCTATTTGATTGGTGGTAATGGTTTAAAGGCTGTTTATGATACTCTAAAAAAAGGAAAGGACGCCACCTATGAATTAAAATGAAACTTTAGTTTTTTTGAGTTGAAAAAATGAAATATTAAATTTGGTTATGATTGAAAGAGTTTTGTTGCCGTTATGTCAATTGTCATAATAATTTATTGTGCAATAGTAGTCGCTCATGTTTATTATGCTTATCATTTTGCCAATAAAATTACTGGAATGGTAAAAAAAAGGGTTGCTAAGAAACTTTTTCGTTTGCAAAATCCCCAAGATAAAAAAAAGTCACTTTCGGTTTTAACTCATAATGTCCGCGCTTTTAGTTCATTAGTGGTTTATGTTCCTAATCAGTTGTATTATTGATTATTAGATGTCTCATTAGTTTTCGTTAGTATTTTCCGAGATAGAAAGGAAGTTGGTTTCACTATGATAACCTGAGGAATTAGTTTTTTTCTTCTTTGCACCATAATTATTATTATTTTCCAATATTTGCACTACAAAAAAGACTTAGCCTTCCAGAAACCTTTGGAGGAGGAAACCGAAAAAGAGAAATTTTTAGTAAATAACCGTGATTTGATTATCAAAAAGAACTTGACTGCCACTTATAGCACTAATTATAATTATTCCTTACATAATTCTCAGGCAGCCGAGAACAAGCGGGATTGGATTTTTACTTTGGCTTTTGTGGTTCCTTCTTATTCTTTGCCTAAGTTTGCCCCTTTTCTTTTTTTAAAATTCATAAATAACAACGAAAGTTGACAAGCAGCCAATAATTTAATTGAATTGGCAGGATCAACCAAAAAAATGACTGAAAGGTTAAGATTTTACCCCTTTGGCCTTTCCGCCCAAAAACAAATTAATGATTTTCTCGCTCAATCCGAAAGGAATGATCGACAAAAAAATATTCTTGTCGAGGAGCCAGTTACTACTATAACCCTCAAAAAAGTTTCTTTCGCTTATCAAGAAAATAAACCTATTCTGAAAAAATTAGACTTACAATTTAAAAAGGGGGAAGTAAATTATTTAACTGGAGCCAACGGATTTGGCAAAAGTACAATAATCAGTTTAATTATGGGATTATATCAAGCCAACGGAGGTGAAATATTAATTAATAATAAATATAAAGTAAGTGAATTAAATTTAATAAAATGACGAGCCAAAATTGCTTATGCCGAACACGAAAATCTCATCGAGAATGATTTATCAACTGGTCAAAAGCAATTAGCTGATTTAGACAATTTGTTTGCTAATAGTAAAAATAAGGAAGTATTCATTTTTGATGAAGCCGATAATGCTTTAGATGAGAATAACAAGAAAGAGTTTCATGAAAAAATAGAGAGAATTAGTAAAAAAAAACTAGTTATCTTGATAAGTCATTAAAATTAAATTAGTTAAAGAATACTAAAATTTATTAATAAACTATGTCAGAGAACAACAAAAAGACCCGAGCCGAAAAGATATTAGAAGATATTGAAGCCCAGTTGCGAAAACTGATTACTGAAAAGAAAGAATTAAAAAAAAAGTTTTCTGATAAATTGAAAGAAGTAGAAAAGCAAAGAAAAGAAAATCAACTGTGATTTGAGGGTAATTGAAAAGAAGCCGAAAGAATTGAAAATAAACTAATGTTGCTCTGGGAT